GACATGGCTTGTGGATATTTAAATGGATATTTATTGATCAAGATGATTGACTGAAAGACTGGCAGCTGTGACCTAATGGTAGCACGAGGATGAAAGTAGTAAGAAAAATGAACTGGAAATAAAGTATGCATTTCTTAATTAAATCCGAATGGAAAGAAACTTTCTCAGTCTTAGCCCTCCCAGACCCCAGGGTCTGTTCCCTGCGAGATAAGGAAAAGGAGCTGTGCTCCCACCTAGCTTATTTAGTTCAGGCTGCTGGGAGAAAAGCTTCAATTGCATCTGATTGTAAGAACTCATTTTTGTTTCCCTTGAGAAGTTGATTGAGGTCTACAGAAAAACAGAATTAGAGAAATGTGTATTTCATACAGGAACAGCCGGCTGAGCATACTGGGTTTCACACGTCTGTAAAATTTTATGTAAGGTTTCTTTTTTTTTTTTAGGTAAGAAATTTAATAACCTGGAGTGTCTCAGACACAAAACTAGTGAGCCCAATGTTATCTTCTACTTTAAAGACAGCGTTTTAGTTGTGAGAGAGTGTGTGTGTTTGGTTATGTTATCTGTGGGCAGAGCTCATTTGATAGCTTTCTCCCAAATGAAACTCCTCTTTTCTCCTGTTTTCATTTATTTTTGCCCATTTATCCGCTTTTGGGAGGGGAAGAAGGTTTTTTTAAGTCTAATTCTAGAAACACTGAAGAATTTTCTATTGATTTTATGCCCTTTGTTGGCAGGTTTAATTCAGGTGTTGTCACATGCAGGCCTGGTTTCAGGGAGTATTTGGAACCACAGTCCCTATAAATCTGTGCGTCATAAGACACCTGAATGCTTTTTGTAAAGGTGGTTTTTAGCATCCAAAACCAAAAAATCTTGTTCTAGTAGGAAGGAGATTTAGTTAACTCTTTTCTCAGCTGATTGGAACAAATAGTTACATTTGCTTTTAAATTCAGAGCAGAACCTCAATTTCCCTTTCTAAATCACTTGAGTGGTGGTGTTTTTCTCATTCTGCCTTTTTGCAGATAAGACAGGTATTCCAGCAATTGTATGACTACTGTTGTGGCAGAGTGAAGATGGACTTTATTTCTATAATATGGCAGAAACAAATTGTTCCTAATTAGCTCCTTTCCTTTTCAGAATGCATTTTTCAAGCCAATGTGACTGGCTATGCTACACTTAAAATGGAATTACTTTTGCTGACTAACTTTCACAAAATACTCTGGCATCCACAGCTGATGGTCTCAAATTAGATATTGAAAGATATTTGGAGGATATTTTGGCGTGTCTTAATATTGTAGCATTGCTCCATTAGTTATCCAGATTTTCTTGTGTTGCATTTATATTTTCTAACCCATATATCTTTTTACCTTTAGGATATCTGTCAGGATAGTAACCAGCTGAGCGTATGAGCTCCTGAATAGTTTCTCAAAGAAGGGAACTTCAATGAAGCTTAACACTGTTACAGTTTTCTGTGTAGGCCTGTATACCTCGCTCAGCTTGGTCCAGCCAGTTGCCATATTTTATTGAGAATTACGATTACACAAGAGGCTTAGTCCCAAAGACACATATTGTTAGATGCTATGGATTAAAAAAAAAAAAACAAAGAACACCCCCCACAAACCAAACCAAAAGGATAGTTTTCCACAGGGCAGCAGATGAGAAACTGAGTATCTGAGACAGGTACAGAGTTACAGCCTGAAATGATGCTTTGCTGTTTCTCATTTTCCTTCTCACAACTTTGCATCTTACTGTTTCTGTGCTTTATGTGAATGACGTTACTAGGATTTTAAGTTGAGAGAACAAGGTGTGTGTGATGTACCAGTGCTGTGAATCAGCAGAGGGCACTACATGCCTATAAACCTATGTAACTGTGAATTAACATGCAGGGTGACATCTTGGTGAAGTTGGCATCAGTTACTCCAAGGTTTATACGATTTAGCTGAGGGAATATCTGTGCTCATTCAGTGATGCAGAGAATGCACCACACCATCTCGTTTCTTCCAGTGAAAGCTGACTATATTTATAAGATGTTTATACCGTGCTATAAAAAATGCATGGATCATTGGCACCAGGGGCTTCAATTCACAATACTGCATCCCACTCGGGCGCTATCTGGATACATAACGTTTAGGGGAGCATGAAGTTGTCTTGTGCCTGCAAAAGCAGACTTTCTCCTGAGATCCCACTCTGCATTGAGATACTGATGATATTTCCTGGCAGAGCATGTCCTTTCTCAGCCAACCATTCACTCATTCTCACACAGGAGAAAGTGTGGGATCCAGTCCCTATGCCTTCCCAACTGCTGGGGCTGATATTCAAGGGCCTGCTGATATTCGGTTGCTGTGCTGTGGTTTTTTTCCCCTGTAATAACCAACTTCTTATGTCAGCTATTTGACCTGAAACAGAGCTGATGTATGCAGGAAGTTTATTTCTATACTACTCAAATTACATGGATCTAGTGTAACTAAGCCAAACATTGGTTGACGTGAAACAGGTGGATGAGAAAATCTGTTGGGAATTGTAATATTTGTGACAAACACTGGATTTCTCATTTCCCTGTTTGTTTATTCCTGAGACAGCTGGGTTGCATGAATTTCCTCCCTATAGTTTGAGCTTCTTCAGTATGCTTTAGCCCATACTGCAGCAAGAGCCTTTGTAAGCAGCAAGTGACCCACACAAGAGCAGGTAGACCTCCAACAGCTGATGCTGGTGTTCTGTTTTTGGAAGCATTGCAAGTGGCATCATCAAATAGTTTCTAAAAATATATATATGCCTGTATTAAATACTACTAAGCCCTAAGAAAAAAAAAGGTAGAAAATGCTTCTGAGCGTTATAGTATTGGTGTTGAAATACATCAAAGCGTGATTATTATTGCTGTTTTTATACTGCTCTGATTTAGGTATAAAAAATATTTGAAAAGGAAATGTTTTATGCATCTTGGGGCATATTTTTCATGTGTCTTGTTTTTCTTTAGAGATTATACAGCACCAGGAAGTATGGAGAATGCTATTCCCAGCAGTATGATAGAAATAGGCAAATTTTGCCTAAATATCAATAAGGTTCTGGTTTTTGCAAAAGTGCAGATTCACCAGAAGTAGAGCTGAAATGTTTCGGTTTGTTGGAAAGTACTCAGAGCTATGCATAGTCTTTCTCTGGTGCTGCTATTTTTGTTTCTGGGTAGAGCCTAGTCTTGCAGTTTCTTCTCAAACAAAATTCTGGTTGACAGCTCCTGGAGTTTTGTCTGTGTAGGAAATAAGGATCAGGCCCTAGGTAATGTCTTAGGAGCTCTTGAAAGTAACTTTCACAGTAATTTGAAAGTAACTCACTTTTATGATTGTTTTTATTTTTGCAGGTTGAACTTTGTTCTTGTGCTTCATGAGACTTGTCACCCCAGATTTCTGCACAAGAGGCATACCCAAGATTTCTGTTTCAGCAGTTCAAATCCAGTGAAATAGAAGAATACTAAAACAAAGATATGTTTTGTATGTCTCTTAGCTGTGCGCTCATGAGGAAGCACCACAGGGAATTCATAAGACTTGAGTTAACTCAGAGGGGATAACTCAGTTAGGATTGCCTCTGGCAGAGCAGGAAGCTCAGAACAAAATCAGTAATTGGAATAACCCATTCTGATGCTGTCCTGGTTTTCTTGAGCGCAGCAGTATACATGTTTTGTAAATCTAAATCTGGGAAATGCAAGGTACTTAAGACCAAACTGATATGCTCTGTCTTTGGAATACTTACACGGTGTTTACACTAGTGAAGGGTGGCTCCAGTGTTCAGAAGAAGGCATGGTAAAACTGACTTCTTGCTGCCATAGGAGTTAGTTATGGAATTTTAATGTGCCCAAAAAGGCGAAAAGGTAATTACCAACATGGTTCAGATGTTACTAGCTGGGACAGGAAGGTACTCAGTCTGAGAGCTTTTGCTGCTCTTTCATAGCCCTTTGGCAGCAGAGTACGAAGGTGTGCCCCCGTTCAAATTAATTTCATGTTAAGGGATCCCATAATAGTACCCAAATGTCCATGTCTGGACCAAATGCTTCTGATGAAACAAAACACACTGAGTTAATCTCCATCTACAGGGATATGTTTTCCTGATTCCAATTTAATGTATTTTCATATGGTTGCACACAAGAGCTGTAGAAATGCGCTTTTGTTCCATGCTGAATGAAAATAAATTAAAAAAACCACCTCAATTTTCTGGAGTATTTGTGAACATGTGCTGTAATGTCCATTCTTAAATTGGAAATGCTAGGTTTTCAACCTTGATACCTCTGGCTGTGACAAAACTTCTTAAAATTTGATGTTTTGGCATTTTACAAACGATAATCTTTCCTCAAAAGGGCTGCAGAATGAAATTGTTGTTTTGCAGCTACTTCTTCATATGTCCATGTACCAAAGAATTAATTCCTATCCTCCCACACTTTGCTTTCTTCCTAACTTTCACTACCTTGGTGTTTCTGACAAGGTTTCCATTAGAGTCCTGTGTCCATACAAAGACTAGGTGAAAAAACAGTTTCTTCTTCCCTTTCTCTAACCTGTTGGGGTTTTTTTTGTAAATTAATTTTCTCTTATTCTTATCCTTATGTTTGATTTTTGGCCTTACTGCTTTCTAAGTATCTCTCGCTTTGAATTAGAAGTCCTCAAAGTTATTAGCCAGCATTTTTCAAGGTTTTGTTATTTCTGGACCAAGTCTTTCAGGATCCCTTTGTGCCCTTTTTGCTATTTCTTCTGGTGCTTGCAAACACCTGCAGATTTGAATAATGTGCTCTCTGTCCCTTCTTTCACATTATTAATAAAGAGGCTAAATTAAATCAAGCCTGACGCTTCTTTGAGTAAGTGGTCTTCCGATACTTCTCGTCAACAAGATACAGTGTTGTTGTTGTTACCTGGCTCTAAATATTAAATCTTGATGCAGTATTTCTTTTGAAGCCAGTGAAAATATTTTTTTTTTTTAGTGATGGGTTCGTGTGGCACTGCATCAAATATCTATTAAAAGTTAGTACTTCTGCCAATTGACATTCATGCTGATGCAGTGCCCACTTGAATACATAATTTAATATAAGCTTTGAAAAATCAGCTGTGGCACACAAGATGGCCTTTATTGTTTATCTATTTTATGGAGTTCAGAATGCATTGTGAAAAAATGAGTAACCACATAATGCTAATGAGCATTTCTTCGTGAATTTTTAAAGCTGTTATGCTGCCATCCATATAGTCAGCCAGGGAAATCCCATGTAAGTAAAATAGCTCTACAAATTACCTGTCTTCTTCCACTCTTAATTCAGCTAGACTTTCTGAATATCTAATAGTGGAGGTATAGATATATAAAATCTAACTATTAAATATATAATGACATAATTAGGACATTTGTATTAGCCACACTATCACTCTCTGGAATTTATGGCCAGAGGTGTTGGATTGATTGGAAGAATGAAACATTCTTAGTAAATGCTACATTTTCTATAGGGCTGGGGATTTTTAGGTTAGCTGAAACCAGTTTTTTCCAGAAAGGTCTCTGAGCTATGATTTTAGTGTATAATAAAGCTCATCACAGCTGTTTTTGTCTGATTTTGAAAGAAAAAGGCCCCCACTAAATACAATTAACAGTTCAGTCTTTTCATGAACATTTAGGAGAAAAAAATGTAAGATATGTTTCTCTTTTTCAGTAACAAATAGCCAATTTTTCATCTTAGTTGAGCAATGCTGTTCCATCTCATTTTTTTGGTCTGATCTTAGTGACTCTACTGCAGGGTATTAGTTTTGTTGCCCAGAAGTGCCCAATGTAAAGCTTTGAAGATACAAAGCAGTATTGGTGCTGCACACAACTGACTTAATTCAACTGTATCATGTGCTTAAGTTGCACGTGTAGAATAACAGGATCGCAGAATAATTGAGGTTGGACGGGACTTCTAGGGGTCATCTCGTCCAACCCTCCTGTTCAAGCAGGGCCACCTAGAGCCAGTTGCCCAGAACCATGTCCAGGCGGCTTTTGAATATCTCCAAGGATGGAGACTCCACAACCTCTCTGGGCAACCTCTGCCAGCGCTCGGTCACCCTCACAGTGAAAAAGTGATTCCTTACATGCAGGCGGAAGGTCCTGTGTTTCATTTTGTGCCCATTGCCTCTTGTTCTATGTGCACACACACACATGATCTGTCGGAAGCTGTTACATGTATTGATTAAATTTGTGCTTTCTTCCAGTGAACACTTAACCATTTGGTGCAGCTTCATGCACGTAGAAGCCATGATTATGGTTGTGTTTAGTTTTTGTGATGTTTGTTTGTTTTTCATCTTGTAGGGTAAGTCTTACCCCTTTAAAGGTCCATTCCCTCCTATGTGGAATCCATTGGCCTACCTGGACTACAACAACCTATGGAGGACCATGGATGAAATGGGAAAGGAGGTATGGCATGAGGAATTGCAGCTGACTGTCTCAGCTCAGCTTTGTCTCCATGTGGGGCAGAGTGAAGATGGGACTAGGATGCAGATAAGCCAAGCTGCTCTAGCTTGAACAAACCTGGTACTAGCAAGAGCAGCGTCGTGCCATGCATTTTGGTACGCACCGATGGTCAGAGCACATGTTATAAGTGGCATCTTGGCCAGCTTTTCTGGAGGCCATGCTGCTGAGGCTGTCTGCAGTCATACCTTCATTTTTCTGGATATATGGACATTAGGGTTTATACATGTGATTTTTAGCACTTTGCCTGACGATTGGGTAAGTAATATTTTAAGAGGCTTGTAGACTTCAAATGTACGTCCTTCTCCACCCTGAAATTCAGCTCAACCATTTTAGTCTGTTACCAGTAGTGTATGTTTTCCATTGACTGAGCTGCAAGACTTTGAGAAGAGGTTGCTCTTACTTGCATAGATGCCTTTCTAGGCAAAGTTCTTAACTCTAAAATTATTCTCTATTCTTAAATCTGAAAAAAAAAAAAATCTTCAGACAAACAAACAACAAAAAGCTAAAAGCATCCTCCGTTAAGTTCACTGTATTACTTGCCAGGAATTTGCAGGCTGAATTACCATTTAAAGATGAGATTGTTTGTGATTGTTTGTGTTTGTTGTCTCTTTCTTATGCCACTCATTCATTTGCTGATGAATGCTCTTTTATGTCTCCTTAGATTCCCAGTGAAGCCCCATGGAAGGCTCCACATGCAGAAGAATGGGACAAAATGACTATGCAAGATTTCATAGATAAAGTTTGCTGGACAAAGTAGGAAACTCTTTAATACAAAGTATAATAGCTTATATTTATATACCTTAAAGCTCCAAATAGGTGTTGCTGTTTTGCAAACAGATATAACTACCACTAGAATACAGCCTTTTCAAGAAATGGGGTGAGAAAATCTTGTAATAATGGACCACGACACCTGTCAGCACACACGGACTCTGTTATATTTCCATAACTTTTTAGACTAAAATAAAGATAAAAGGAAAATGTATTTGGGGAGGGTTACTTCTGAAGACATAGGTAGTACCTTCATCTTTTATATGCACTTTCCCTCTCTTGCTACTGTGTGTTTAACTTTTACACGAAAAATGTTTTGGCTACAGCAGGTTTTTGAATCAAACTTTTGATGGAACAACACACATTTATTCTGTGCTGGACCAGCTGATTTTACCGAAGTGCTATAAAAATAACATCTGTCTTGAAAGAGCACTAAATCACTTTAACACCTCTCATTCTATTGTTTAACTGCTGCACTATATACCACCCAGGGAAACTGAAAATGCTTCCTGTTTTTATGTATACATCAAAGCAATTTTTCTTTACTTGCCATTCAACAACAGTTTGATTGGTTTTCTTCGCACTGAAGCAGAAAACCCCAAAACATCAATTCTGCCTCGCTGTAAAGCAGATTGATTTCTACAGCAACCTTTTCAGAATTGCTAAGCACGGCTGCAGCGAGCCTGCACGAGCTTAGTGCAGAAACCTGCTAGCACCCACTCAAGCTGACACTGTCGCCGCCAGGGGCATTTTTTTATGGCTTCAGCCAGCCTCGAGAGAGCAACATGATCACTGTTAATGGACAGTAGGCTCTTGTCCAAAAACTTTTAATCTTCTGGTTGTTTTGCTTTAACAAGAGTTACAATTGCACAAAAGCATATAGAAAGCCTTTCTCGTTTGTATCACCATCCGTATTCAGTAAAACCAAATAGAAATGTAGGCTGGTGGTTCTGCTGGCCATCTGAACCTCTGATTTAGTAAGGAACTATACAAATTAGCAAAATGCCACGCACTGGTAGTCATTCAATATCCAATAGCTCACATGACTACAGTCGTATTTTTTCAAACTCTGATGGAATAAGACTAGACATTTTACCTGAATATTGGCATAACTGTCGGCGTCCCTTAATTCCAAGATGCTTTTCAGATTTTATATGTGCATCTCGGCTTGATTTGCCCAGTTTGTTCAAGATGTAGGCAACATGCTGTAGAAACTTCCCAACCGGGAAGGTAATCGTCCAGAAGGGTAATCTTCTGTTATTTCCTCTCATCTAACAGACTGTACAGATTTGCTTTTGTCTATAATTGCACGCTGGAAATACCCTGAGTGCTTGGTTGAAATCATACTGCCATTTCTAGGTAAAACACCAGGAGAAACTGGGGAACTGAAATGCTGAAAAGCAATGGGAGAAGGCGGCAGAAACTAGGAGAATTTAACCACCATCTAATACCTTCTGCTTATGAAATATTAATAAATGCATACACTAATTCTCCCATTAGACAAAATATCTTTCAGAGTTGATCACATTTTACAGTATGTGTTTATACAGACAAAAATTGATAAATATTTTCTGTATTATTTTTGGCTGTCAAGAATGAAGCCAGAATGCACCTGTATTTCAGAAAATGGATCAGCTTT